GAACCAGGAGGAAGTTGCTCTTTTGAAAAAAAAAAAAAATTAAAAGCCTCTAACAACAAAAATAAATGTCGCGAAGGTCACACACTACAACATATAGACTGACAGGAAAGTCCCTTTAGCCCCCAGTCAGAGCCTATTCACTCTTGGACGCTGTTCCAGGAATTGTGATTATCTGTTTTGCAGTAAAATAGAGCTTTGGAGCTGCCACCTAAAACGGCTTGGGGAGTTGGCACAATTTTGTTAGGTACAGATACATAGGCAGAAAGAGAAAGCTGGCACTGAAAAAAAAGAGACAGAAAAGGAATGAACACATGATACATGTTCTCAGAAAGGCATTACAAGGGGAGCATTGGTCTTTGAAGTAAATGGCCTGTGGACAGGCCACAAAAGTCCTTAAGGAAAAGAGCCCACACAATAAGTCATGTTCATAAGGACAACCCTAACTAACAGAGGGGTATTCTAAATCTTCACTCAGAGTCGTTCAAGAAGAGAACACTGAGAAGCATGTTTCAGGTAAATGGAATTAAACTCACTCACCAAGCCTTGGCTGGCATGACTCAGTGGGTAGAGTGTCCAGCCCATGCACCGAAGGGTCTTGGGTTCAATTCCCGGTCAAGGGCAAGTACCTGGGTTGCAGGTTCAGTCCCCAACCCTAGTCCCTGGTCAGGGCGTGTGGGGGAGGCAACCAATCAATGCATCTCTCTCACATCCATCTTTCTCTCTCTCTCTCTCCCTCCCTCCCCCTTCCTCCCTTCTTTCCACTCTCTAAAAAAATCAATGAAAACATGTCCTCTGGTGAGGATTAACAACAACAACAGCAAAAAAATCACTCAGCAATAGCACAAGGTACATGAGGCCTTACTCCATCAACAACTCTGTGATGGTATCTATTTGGACTATATGCAATAGAGTAAGCTTTGTTTCATTTTGGTTTTTGATGTGTGTGACTCTTTTTGCTACAACCCAGAACGCTATCCTAGAACTTACCCGGTTTGTGGTAGGCATCTCCTCTAAAATGAGTGCACACAGATAATAGTAATTTTCCCCATGGTCATATAGAAAGTATAGACCAGAAACCCTACATAAGTCAGTGTTCTTATCTTTTATCTCCTTCTTTAAGCAAAATATGGAGACCATTGGTTTACATGTGAAACTTCAAGATTGAAAGTAAGATTAAGAATGAATGATACAAAGACAACTTACAATATTAGAGGATAATGCTATTTTTACAGTCAAGTGGCAGGGATCGTTGTACAGTGTTATGTTAAAACCCAGGTAACCGATAACAGAGTAAACGACACTGATCCCTCAAAATTAATTTGGAAGCCCCTCCAAGTGTTCCAGTCTAAATCCAAATATCTAACATTAGCTACAGCAATCAATTTCCATTTATAACACCTCTTCTCTCTTTTTTTTATTATTAGTTTCAGGTGTACAGCATAGTGGTTATACAATCATATACTTTACAAATTGATCCCCCTGATATTTCCAGTACCCACCAGGCACTATAAATAATTATTACAACATTACTGACAATTTTTCCTATGCTGTACTTTACATTCCCATGACTATTCTGTAACTACCAATCAGTAATTCTCAGTCTCTTCACCTTTTTCACCCAGTGCCCCAACCCCCCTCCCCTCTGACAACCATCAGTCTGTTCTCTGTATCTGAGTTTCTTTCTGTTTTCTTCATTTGTTTATATTGTATAACACCTCTTGAGATACCAAGTTAATATTGAAACTGAGCAGGCCTGGGGATTTGATTGAGTCAACAGCATTTGAGACTTTGGAACGCTCTAGGAAAAAGAGTATCTTTGGGGCAGAGTCCTTGAAAGCAGGAATGAACTACAGTCACAACAGATCAATGTGGATATTTCATATTTCCCATTAGAAGACCTTTCACAGAATGATGCAATGCACAGACTGGGTTAATAGCATTTTTCTATGTGACTCCCTCAGGTGGGTTTTTAGTTACAGATTAGACAATAATCTAAATTGAGAAGAGCAAGAGTTCAATCAAAAATCAATCATAATTCAACATGAGGGCAAACAAATACACACATGAGGGAATGAAAAATTTGAAAGCGACCAAAAAAGGAGGTTCTAGCAAATCTGTTCACATTCCAGGGGGATCTTCTTTAGCACCAACCTCTTATCCTCAAATCTTGGAACCTTGAGGGATAAAAATCAACCTGAGCATGTGCAGGAAAATAGCTCTATATTGCCCCCTAGTGCTGGGCTGTCCCACTTCTCCTTAGGCTAAAAGCTACAAGGTGAGTAGTTCCTCTACTTCTAGTTACTTCCTGCTGCCAGCCTCCTAAGAGCTAAACATAGCCCAATCCTGTGCCCACAGATTAGGAAACAACCAGGCTATTTTTAGCATCATGCATCTTAGGAATGGCAATGGCCCAGCCTCTGATGGCAACAGAATGTGTGTGGCCTAGCTTAATGAACTCACCTCTCCCAAGGATGTGAACCTAGTCCATAAAGTGGCCAAGGACCCCTTGAGAGCTCTGGCGCCTATTACTAAGTGATCATGGTATGTGGATCACAAGAAATAATGACGCGGAAAGGACAATGAGAGGCAAGGGCAGCAAAGGGAATCAGGAAGATGACAGATGCCAGGGGAGGCGTGATAAGTCAGAGCAGTAGGAGAAATGATATGGGACAGGAACAATAAAAAATAGCAGTCAGAAGACAGGAATGTTGGCCATTGTCATTCTGGAGACGCTTGTCTAGTAAGAAGTAGCATTTTGAACTGGACATTTATTTTACATGAGAAAGAACAAAGGTTGGTCTGATCTGTTTCCTGCCAGGGTACAGCTGGTGCTGTGGCTCCTTTGATCACTTTCTCCCAGTCCTCTGCAGCTCCTGTGATTAGAGATAGATCCTTTAGCTGCCCTTTGATCAGCAACTCAAGCAGCCTGCAGGTGCCATGTGCCATCATATTAGCAAGTTGTAAGAAGCAACCACATTAACGTTGGCTGATAAATGTGATACCACAGATTGCTGCACATACAACAAATACAAACGACGTATGTGAAGGTCCCAGGAATCCTTATTTAATCTACATTTGTACTCTAGAACTTCCTGTGCTTTCTTAAAGATGAACACTTTAGAGAGTTTAAATTCAAAGTTGAAACTTGGAAACACCCCAACACAAAAAGAAAAAGTTGCTGTGACTTAAAAATACAGTACACACCATTCTGATTTTCTAGGTATGCTGCTTGTGTTCATTTCGCCTGGTTAATGAAGTGACAGCATTCTTGCATTCAGGATGAATGACATACAAAGCACTAAACACATGTACATTTCTTTTCAAATAACGTTAAGAGCCACCCCTTGTAAACAGGGTGTTCGATATTCTAATTTTAGACAGCCTACATTAACATTGCGGTTTCATGCTCAGTATAAAATTTCTATTTACAAAGTATTCTCAAAAATGACTTCATAATGGCAGATCAAGAGAAAAAGAGTTTAGAAATTGAATGATGTAAATCATATGGAGTTCAGAGGCTAAGCAAATTACACACCCTGAAGCTGCCCTTGGCTTTATGAAAGGAGCCTTTCTCCCGCTCTGTGCAATCCCAGCCCAAGGGAACTTGCATCTGAGAGTTTTCTAAACATTTCAGGTACACTTGAAAGCTGAAAGTAATTCTCATTTCCTATGCAGGATTAAGTCGTTTCCCGCACACACAAAATAGCAGTCATTCACCGACACATATAAATACACACCACCAGAAAGGTACACACAAAGGCACATTAAAAAAAAAAAAAAAAAAATAGAGCACCAGAGAAATACACTTTTTTAAATTCAGCCTTAAAGGGTCCACTCGGCCTCTTGACCTCTCTATTTCCTGCCCACTTACTGATTAATTGATGCCTTGCCACTTAAAAGTGCTTCAATTAATGCAGCTGATACGTTTCCTGAAACAGCCCGCTCCCGAATTTAAAAAAAAAAAAAAAAAAAAAAATCGAAGTCAAGTCAAACATGCCAAGACTCATTCATTTTGGACTCGTTTTTAGAGGCAGTTCTTGAACTCCTAACTGGCCCTGAGAGGTCCTGCAGGGTGCGTCCCGGACTGACGTTCGAGATGGCTCTCAGAAGGTCCCCTCTCCCTAGCTGCAGCTGCGGTGGCACTCGCGTCGCCCCGGGAGAGCCCTGTGGCAGCTCCCGAAATTGCAAAGCGCAGGTAACCTCCAACCCAGCCGGTGCCCGGGAACGCAGCGC